TCACTTTCAAATGACCTAGACCCTAGAGTTGAACAATGTATGAAAGTTTTGTGCTAATCAGACTTTGTTTGTGCAAACGGGAGCAAATTTTATGTTGTCAAAAACGGGCAAAAAAGGTCACATTTTGCCGCTCCGCTGCTCAAACAATGTTTCACTGATCAAAAATCCCTGAGGTCATTTTGAAGGTACATGTGTTGAGATGATGTGGAGCGATTTTGAGGCAAATCGGTGAAACGGCCGAGGAGGAGTCGCTTTCCAACCGACGTGTATGAAAACTTTTGCTGTTCATTTTTCCATTTTGCAGTGAAATTTATGGGCTTCCTGTTTGTCAGAGGGCGGAGCCATAATAATTTATTCTTGTCTTGACTTGAGGAACATCCATCCATCCATCCATTTTCTTCCGCTTTATCCGTTGCCGGGTCGCGGGGGCAGAAGTCTAAGCAGAGACGCCCAGACTTCCCTATCCACACACACTTCCTCCAGCTCGTCCGGGGGGACCCCAAGGCGTTCCCAGGCCAGCTGAGAGACATAGTCCCTCCAGCGTGTCCTAGGTCTTCCGCGAGGCCTCCTCCCGGTGGGACGTGCCCGGAACACCTCCCCAGGGAGGCGTCCAGGAGGCATCCGGAACAGATGCCCGAGCCACCTCAACTGGTTCCTCTCGACGTGGAGAAGCAGCGGCTCTACTCCGAGCTCCTCCCGTGTGACTGAGCTCCTCACTCTATCTCTAAGGGAGCGCCCAGCCACTCTGCGGAGGAAGCTCATTTCGACCACTTGTATCCGCGATCTCGTTCTTTCGGTCATTACCCAAAGCTCATGACCATAGGTGAGGGAGGGAACGAAGATTGACCGGTTAATCGAGAGCTTTGCCTTTCGGCTCAGCTCCCTCTTTACCACAACGGTCCGATACAGCGACCGCATCACTGCGCACGCTGCACCGATCCGCCTGTCAATCTCACGCTCCATTTTTCCCTCACTTGTGAACAAGACCCCGAGATACTTGAACTCCTCCAGTTGAGGAAGGACCTCTCCACCCACCTGCAGAGGGCAAGGCACCTTTTTCCGGTCGAGCACCATGGCCTCGGATTTGGAGGTGCTGATTCTCATCCCAGCCGCTTCACACTCAGCTGCAAACCGCTCCAGTGCATGCTGCAGGTCCTGGTTCGTTGGAGCCAACAGGACAACATCGTCCGCAAACAGCAGAGATGAAATCCTGTGGTCTCCGAACCGGACCCCCTCCGAACCCTGGCTGCGCCTAGAAATTCTGTCCATAAATACAGTGAACAGAACCGGTGACAAAGGGCAGCCCTGTCGGAGGCCAACATTCACCGGGAACAGGTCTGACTTACTGCCGGCAATGCGAACACAGCTCTGGCCTCGGTCATACAGGGATCGGATGGCCCTCAGCAGAGGACCTCCGACCCCGTACTCCCGGAGAACCCCCCAAAGGACACCCCGGGGAACACAGTCGAACGCCTTTTCCAAATCCACAAAGCACATGTGGACAGGTTGGGCGAACTCCCATGAACCCTCGAGTATCCGATGGAGAGTATAGAGCTGGTCCAGTGTTCCGCGACCGGGACGAAAACCACACTGCTCCTCCTGGATCCGAGATTCGACCATCGGCCGTAGCCTCCTCTCCAGTACCTTCGAGTAGACCTTACCGGGGAGGCTGAGGAGTGTGATCCCACGATAATTGGAAGACACCCTCCGGTCCCCCTTCTTGTAGAGAGGGACCACCACCCCGGTCTGCCACTCCATTGGCACCGCCCCCGATCGCCACGCGATGTTGCAGAGACGTGTCAGCCAAGACAGTCCTACAACGTCCAGAGACTTTAGATAATCAGGGCGGATCTCATCCACACCCGGAGCCTTGCCACCATGGAGTCTGCCAACCACCTTGGTGACCTCAGCCAGGGAGATGGATGTATCCGCCCCAACATCCTCAGCCTCTGCCTCTGTAACAGAGGACGTGACGGGGGGATTGAGGAGAACCTCAAATTATTCCTTCCACCGCCCGACAATATCCCCAGTCGAGGTCAGCAGCTCTCCACCCGTACATGGTGTTGGCAAAGAACTGCTTCCCCCTCCTAAGGCGCCGGATGGTTTGCCAGAATCTCTTCGAGGCCGACCGATAGTCATGCTCCATGGACTCTCCAAACTCCTCCCAGTCCCAGGTTTTTGCCTCTGCAACAGCCCGGGCCGTGGCACGCTTGGCCTGCCGGTACTGGACAGCTGCCTCAGGAGTCTCCCGAACCATCATGGCTCGATAGGACTCCTTCTTCAGCCTGACAGCATCCCTTACTGCCGGTGTCCACCACCGGGTTCGGGGGTTGCCGCCGGGACCAGCACCAGAGACCTTGCGACCACAGCTACGAGCCGCCGCATCGGCGATTGAGGCAGAGAACATGGTCCACTCGGACTCCATGTCCCCCTCCTCCGCCGGGACCTGGGAGAAGCTCTCCCGGAGGTGTGAGTTGAAAGTCCGTCTGACAGGGGGCTCAGCGAGACGTTCCCAGCAGACCCTCACTATACGCTTGGGTCTGCCAGGTCTGACCGGCTTCTTCCCCTGCCAGCGGATCCAACTCACGACCAGGTGATGATCGGTTGACAGCTCCGCCCCTCTCTTCACCCGAGTGTCCGAAACACGCGGTCGAAGGTCAGATGATACGACAACAAAGTCGATCATCGACCTCAGGCCTAGGGTGTCCTGGTGCCACGTGCACTGGTGAACACCCTTGTGCTCGAACATGGTGTTCGTGATGGACAAACTGTGACTGGCACAGAAGTCCAACAACTGAACACCGCTCGGGTTCAGATCAGGGGGGCCGTTCTTCCCGATCACCCCTCTCCAAGTGTCACTGGCGTTTCCCACATGGGCGTTGAAGTCCCCCAGGAGAATAACGGAGTCCCCGGGCGGTGCACCGTCCAGTACCCGTCCCAAGGACTCCAAGAAGGCCGGGCACTGCTGATAGGCCCGTAGGCCGTCACAACAATGAGAGACTTGTCTCCCACCCGGAGGCGGAGGGACGCGACCCTCTCATTCACCGGGGAGAACTCCAACACGTGGCGGCTGAGATGGGGGGCAATGAGAATGGCCACCCCAGCTCGCCGCCTCTCCCCGCGGGAAACTCCAGAAAAGTGGAGCGTCCAACCCCTCTCAAGGAGTTGGGTTCCAGAGCCCAAGCTGTGTGTGGAGGTGAGGCCGACTATCTCTAGTCGGTATCGCTCAACCTCCCCCACGAGCTCGGGCTCCTTCCCCCCCAGTGAGTTGACGTTCCACGTCTCAAGAGCCAGATGTTGTGTGTGCGGACTGGGTCGCCGAGGTCTCCGCCTTCGACTGCCGGCCAGTCCTCTTAGCACCGCGCCACCACGGACCCCTCTGCAGGTGGTGGGCCCACAGGAGGGACTGCCCACGTCATCCCTTCGGGCTGAGCCCGGCCGGGCCCCGTGGGCTAAGGCCCGGCCACCAGGAGCTTGCATACGAGCCCCGACCCCAGGCCTGGCTCCAGGGTGGGGCCCCGGCTGCGCCATGCCAGGCGACGTCACTGTTCTATTTATCGTGCTGTCCATGGTTTTTGGACCGCTCTTCGTCTGACTCGTCACCTGAGACCTGTCTGCCATGGGAGGCCCTACCAGGGGCATGAAGCCCCAGACAGCATAGCTCCCAGGATCATCCGAGTACTCAAACTCCCCCACCATGTTAAGGTGGCAGTCCAGGGGGGAGCGTTAAGGTGGCAGTCCAGGGGGGAGGAACATGTGTACCGAATTTAATGACTCTACAACAAACTTGATCTTCAGAACTCCCATAGGGGTATTATTTTGGCTGTTGTAGGTGGCGCTGTTCTGGCATTTTATGAGTCCCATAAAAATAAACACCAAAATATCAAATTTTTCGCCAGGTCTGATTTTTGGGCAAAATTTTACAACTTTTCATGCATGTTCAGGGGATCAAATTAAGGCTCAAAGTGCAGAAGAAAAAAGAAAGAAAGAAAGAAAGAAAGAAATCAATAAATAAATAAATAAAAAAGGATTTTTTTTTTCGACGTCTCGAGCAAAAACAATATAGGTTTCAATGGCACATGATACATCATTTTAAAGTGTTTGAGTTTACGCACGCAACTGTCACGTATTGGTGAGTGACGGGCGCTGACGCGTCCGTCACGCACCGCCACCATTTGTTTTCACCATTGTGAAAGCAATAGGCCCTTACCCCGTTCGGGGCTCGGGCCTAATAAAAAAGGAATTTTTTTTGAACGTCTCGAGCAAAAACAATATAGGTTTCAATGGCACGTGATACATCATTTTAAAGCGTTTGAGTTTACGCACGCAACCGTCATGTTTTGGTTAGTGACGGGCGCTGACGCGTCCGTCACGCACCGCCACCATTTGTTTTCACCATTGTGAAAGCAATAGGCCCTTACCCCGTTCGGGACTCGGGCCTAATAAATAAATAAAAAAGGATTTTTTTTTTACTTGTCTCGAGCAAAAACAATATAGGTTTCAATGGCACGTGATACATAATTTTAAAGCGTTTGAGTTTACGCACGCAACCGTCACGTTTTGGTGAGTGACGGGCGCTGACGCGTCCGTCACGCACCGCCACCATTTGTTTTCACCATTGTGAAAGCAATAGGCCCTTACCCCGTTCGGGGCTCGGGCCTAATAAATAAACAAGGATTTTTTTTTTCACGTCTTGAGCAAAAACAATATAGGTTTCAATGGCAAGTGATACATAATTTTAAAGCGTTTGAGTTTACGAACGCAACCGTCACGTCGGGGTGAGTGACGGGCGCTGACGCGTCCGTCACGCACCGCCACCCTTTGCATTCACCATTGTGAAAGCAATAAGCCCTTACCCCGTTCGGGGCTCGGACCTAATTACAGTCTGTGTAGTAAAAACATAAATAACTACAGTCTGTGGAGTAAAAACATGAATAACTAAAGTCTGTGGAGTAAAAACATGAATAATAACTAGTTTGTGGAGTAAAAACATCACTCACTTCATGCGACAGGGAACCGTGAGCCACTCTGGTTTTACAAACTGTAGAAGAAAAAACATGACAGAGTGAAAGAGTGCTTAAGTACAAGTGTAGAATAATGATGGAGTGTAGAGAGTAATGATGGAGTGTAGTAAAGATGAAGAGTAGAGAGTAATGATGGCGTGTGGAAACTCCAATCACACTCTTTTAGAGGAATAGTTCACCGTTTTTACATACTGACATATGTTCTTACCTTACCTTAGACTAGTTAATATGTACCTGTCTGGTCTTAGTCCGTGCGCTCTGTCATGCAAACGGAGCAAAAACGGGAGCACAAACGCAGCCTCCTCTGTATATTGTGTAGGACCAAAAGGTAGCTCCCGCTAGAAGCTACCAAACTCTTCCAAGTGTTCCCTATTAAATGTATATAGTTACGTGACGTGTTACACTGCAAAGTATAGTAACACAGAAATGTAACTGTCGATTTTCTCAGCGGATAAAACGGGTACTATATTGTGAGGCGTAGTAATCTGAGGAGCGCTACGTCCGCGCACTAACTTCTCTCCGGAGACTTCTCTCTCGCTCACTTCCGTCAATAGAAGCAGCGTGACTTGTAGTACACACAGTAGCAGCGAGAGAGAAGTCTCCGGAGAGAAGTTAGTGGTGCGCGGACGTAGCGCTCCTCAGATTACTACGCCTCACAATATAGTACCCGTTTTATCCGCTGAGAAAATCGACTGTTACATTTCTGTGTTACTATACTTTGCAGTGTAACACGTCACGTAACTATATACATTTAATAGGGAACACTTGGAAGAGTTTGGTAGCTTCTAGCGGGAGCTACCTTTTGGTCCTACACAATATACAGAGGAGGCTGCGTTTGTGCTCCCGTTTTTGCTCCGTTTGCATGACAGAGCGCACGGACTAAGACCAGACAGGTACATATTAACTAGTCTAAGGTAAGGTAAGAACATATGTCAGTATGTAAAAACGGTGAACTTTAATCCATCATCACAAGTGAAAAACCTGGGCGTAATCTTTGACTCTGAGCTGACTTTTATTCCTCAAATCAAAAACATCACAAAAATAGGTTTTTATCATTTAAAGAACATCGCCAGAGTCCGCCCCATTCTCTCTCGGGCCAACACGGAGACGCTGATGCATGCTTTTATCACCAGTCGCATTGACTACTGTAATGCCCTGCTCTCTGGTCTTCCCAAAAAGAACATTTCAGGTTTACAATTACTTCAAAACTCGGCCGCACGTGTCCTGACTAAGACCAGGGGGCGGGACCACATTACACCGGTTTTAAAATCGCTGCATTGGCTCCCCGTGTGTTTCAGGATCGATTTTAAGGTTCTTTTAATGGTTTTTAAATGTCTTAATGGTCTTGGGCCTTCTTATCTTTCAGAGCTGCTTTTATCCTATGAACCTTCCCGGCCCCTGCGCTCCTCTGGCAGCAGACTTCTGACCATCCCCAAAGTCAGGACACACACTCACGGCGAGGCATCTTTCCAGCACTACGGCCCCCGTCTCTGGAACAGTCTGCCGGAGGAGCTCAGGGCCGCAGAGAACGTTCATATTTTTAAGAGTAGGCTCAAGACGCACCTGTTTAGAGTAGCTTTTGATTAGTATTTATTATTTATTATTGCTTTTTAGTACATCTATTTATGTTTTTAGACACATTCTATTTTTATTTATTTTTATTATTTACTATTTTTAATTATTTATTGTATCTACCCATTTACTATTGTTATTATCAATATTAGGCAGCTGCCATTTTTCTTTTTATTGTCACATTTTATTGTTCTACTTTCTATTGTATTATTGTATTGTTTTAGTGTCCCCAGTGTTTCCTCTGGAGGAGCCCTCTGCACTGGGAGCTGGGGTCTGCTATGGCTTCGGGGGTCTGGCTCTTGGATCCGGTGGGGGTCTGGGGCCTCCTCTCTCCTCTGGGTCCTATGGGGTCTGAGTCCTGGGCCTGGTCGGGTCTGGGGCCCCTCTCTCCTCTGGGTCCTGTGTCGTTCCCTGTGGCTGCAGCCGGCTCTCTGCTCCTGGTGCAGATGGCTCCTTGGATGACGCTTCTTCAGCCGGTTACATCTGCTCCCAGCCCCATTTCTTTTTATTGTTTTACCTATTTTACCTGATATGACTTTATACGTGTGTGTGTGTGTGTGTGTGTGTGTGTGTGTGTGTGTGTGTGTGTGTGTGTGTGTGTGTGTGTGTGTGTGTGTGTGTGTGTGTGTGTGTGTGTGTGTGTGTGTGTGTGTGTGTGTATATATATAGGCATGTGGTTGTATATATAATTATAAATGTGGTTTTGGGGGGGTCTGTGGGGAGGAGGGTGGGCTGGGCATGTTGGATTGTTTTTAACTAAACTGTAAAACACTTTGTGTTACACTTTTTGTATGAAAAGCGCTTTATAAATAAAATTTGATTGATTGATTGATGATGGAGTGTAGAGAGTAATGATGAAGTGTAGTAATGATGGAGTGTAGAGAGAAATGATGGAGTGTGTAGAGTAATGATGGAGTGTAGTAAGTAAGTAAGTAAGTAAGCTTTATTTATATTCCGCGTTTCACAGACCAGAGTCACAAAGCGGTTTACAATTGTTATTTTTGGGCACTTGTCCTCTCACTCCACACAGAGATGGGAGCGGGGTCGCCGAACAGGAGGCGCATGCCAGACCTATTGTACATATTTTTAGTGGTAGGGGAAACCGGAGTACCCGGAGGAAACCTACGCAGACACGGGGAGAACATGCAAACTCCACTCAGAAAGGCCCTTGTCCGGCCGGGATTCGAACCAAGGACCTTCTTGCTGAGAGGCGAGAGTGCTATCCACTCAGCCATCGTGCCGTGTAGAGAGTAATGATGGAGTATAGTAAAGATGAAGAGTAGAGAGTAATGATGGCGTGTGGAGAGAAATAAAGGAGTGTAGAGAGTATTGATGGAGTGTAGAGAGTAATGATGGAATGTAGAGAGTAATGATGAAGTGTAGAGAATAATTATGGAGTGTAGAGAGTAATGAAGGAGCGTAGAGAGTAATGATGAAGTGTAGAGAGTAATGATGAAGTGTAGAGAGTGATGATGGAGTGTAGAGAGTAATGATGAAGTGTAGAGAGTAATTATGGAGTGTAGTAATGATGAAGTGTAGAGTAATGATGAAGTGTAGAGAGTAATGATAGAGAGTAGAGAGTAATGATGGAGTGTAGAAAGTAACGATGGAGTATAGAGAGTATTGATGGAGTGTAGAGAGTAATGATGAAGTGTAGAGGGTAATGATGAAGTGTAGAGAGTAATGATGGAGTGTAGAAAGTAATGATGGAGTGTAGAGAGTAATGATGGAGTGTAGAGAGTAATGATGGAGTGGAGAAAGTAATGGTGGAGTGTAGAGGGTAATGATGGAGTGTAGAGAGTAATGATGAAGTGTAGAGAGTAATGATGGAGTGTAGAAAGTAATGATTGAGTGTAGAGAGTAATGATGAATTGTAGTAATGATGGAGTGTAGAGAATAATGATGAAATGTAGAGAGCAATGATTGAGTGTAGAGTAATGATGGAGTATAGAGAGTAATAATAAAGTGTAGTAATGATGAAGTGTAGAGAGTAATTTTGAAGTGTAATAATGATGGAGTGTAGAGAGTAATGATGTAGTGTAGAGAGTAATGATGAAGTGTAGAGAGTAATTTTGAAGTGTAGAGAGTAATGATGGAGTGTAGAAAGTAATGATGGAGTGTACAGAGTAATGATGGAGTGTAGAGAGTAATGATGAAGTGTAGTAATGATGGAGTGTAGGGAGTAATGATGAAGTGTAGAGAGTAATGAAGGAGTATAGAGAGTAATGGGGTGTAGAGAGTAATGATGAAGTGTAGAGAGTAATGATGAAGTGTAGAGAGTAATGATGAAGTGTAGAGAGTAATGATGGAGTGTAGAAGGTAATGATGGAGCGTAGAGAGTAATAATGAAGTCTTGTAATGATGGAGTGTAGAGAGTAATGACGAAGTGAAGTAATTATGGAGTGTAGAGAGTAATGATGAAGTATAGAGAGTAATGATGGAGTGTAGAGAGTAATGATGAAGTGTAGTAATGATGGAGTGTAGAGAGTAATGATGGAGTGTAGAGAGTATTGATGAAGTGTAGTAATGATGGAGTGTAGAGAGTAATGATGAAGAGTAGAGAGTAATAATGAAGGGTAGTAATGATGGAGTGTAGAGATTAATGATGGAGTGTAGAGAGTAATGATGGAGTGTAGAGAGTAATGATGAAGTGTAGAGAGTAATAATGGAGTGTAGAGAGTAATGATGAAGAGTAGAGAGCAATGATGAAGTGTAGTAATGATGGAGTCTAGAGAGTAATGATGGAGTGTAGAGAGTAATTATGGAGTGTAGAGAGTAATGATGGAGTGTAGAAAGTAATGATGGAGTGTACAGAGTAATGATGGAGTTTAGAGAGTAATGATGAAGTGTAGTAATGATGGAGTGTAGAGAGTAATGATGAAGTGTAGAGAGCAATGATGGAGTGTAGAGAGTAATGATGGAGTATAGAGAGTAATGGAGTGTAGAGAGTAATGATGAAGTGTAGAGAGTAATGATGAAGTCTAGTAATGATGGAATGTAGAGAGTAATGACAAAGTGAAGTAATTATGGAGTGTAGAGAGTAATGATGAAGTATAGAGAGTACTGATGGAGTGTAGAGAGTAATGATGAAGTGTAGTAATGATGCAGTGTAGAGAGTAATGATGAAGTGTAGTAATGATGGAGTGTAGAGAGTAATGATGAAGTGTAGAGAGTAATGATGGAGTGTAGAAAGTAATGATTGAGTGTAGAGAGTAATGATGAATTGTAGTAATGATGGAGTGTAGAGAATAATGATGAAATGTAGAGAGCAATGATTGAGTGTAGAGTAATGATGGAGTATAGAGAGTAATAATAAAGTGTAGTAATGATGAAGTGTAGAGAGTAATTTTGAAGTGTAATAATGATGGAGTGTAGAGAGTAATGATGTAGTGTAGAGAGTAATGATGAAGTGTAGAGAGTAATTTTGAAGTGTAGAGAGTAATGATGGAGTGTAGAAAGTAATGATGGAGTGTACAGAGTAATGATGGAGTGTAGAGAGTAATGATGAAGTGTAGTAATGATGGAGTGTAGGGAGTAATGATGAAGTGTAGAGAGCAATGATGGAGTGTAGAGAGTAATGATGGAGTATAGAGAGTAATGGAGTGTAGAGAGTAATGATGAAGTGTAGAGAGTAATGATGAAGTGTAGAGAGTAATGATGAAGTGTAGAGAGTAATGATGGAGTGTAGAAGGTAATGATGGAGCGTAGAGAGTAATAATGAAGTCTAGTAATGATGGAGTGTAGAGAGTAATGATGGAGTGTAGAGAGTAATGACGAAGTGAAGTAATTATGGAGTGTAGAGAGTAATGATGAAGTATAGAGAGTAATGATGGAGTGTAGAGAGTAATGATGAAGTGTAGTAATGATGGAGTGTAGAGAGTAATGATGGAGTGTAGAGAGTATTGATGAAGTGTAGTAATGATGGAGTGTAGAGAGTAATGATGAAGAGTAGAGAGTAATAATGAAGGGTAGTAATGATGGAGTGTAGAGAGTAATGATGGAGTGTAGAGAGTAATGATGGAGTGTAGAGAGTAATGATGAAGTGTAGAGAGTAATAATGGAGTGTAGAGAGTAATGATGAAGAGTAGAGAGCAATGATGAAGTGTAGTAATGATGGAGTCTAGAGAGTAATGATGGAGTGTAGAGAGTAATTATGGAGTGTAGAGAGTAATGATGGAGTGTAGAAAGTAATGATGGAGTGTACAGAGTAATGATGAATTGTAGTAATGATGGAGTTTAGAGAGTAATGATGAAGTGTAGTAATGATGGAGTGTAGAGAGTAATGATGGAGTATAGAGAGTAATGGAGTGTAGAGAGTAATGATGAAGTGTAGAGAGTAATGATGAAGTGTAGAGAGTAATGATGGAGTGTTGTAATGATGGAGCGTAGAGAGTAATGATGAAGTCTAGTAATGATGGAATGTAGAGAGTAATGACAAAGTGAAGTAATTATGGAGTGTAGAGAGTAATGATGAAGTATAGAGAGTACTGATGGAGTGTAGAGAGTAATGATGGAGTGTAGAGAGTAATGATGAAGTGTAGAGAGTAATAATGGAGTGTAGAGAGTAATGATGAAGAGTAGAGAGCAATGATGAAGTGTAGTAATGATGGAGTCTAGAGAGTAATGATGGAGTGTAGAGAGTAATTATGGAGTGTAGAGAGTAATGATGGAGTGTAGAAAGTAATGATGGAGTTTAGAGAGTAATGATGAAGTGTAGTAATGATGGAGTGTAGAGAGTAATGATGAAGTGTAGAGAGCAATGATGGAGTGTAGAGAGTAATGATGGAGTATAGAGAGTAATGGAGTGTAGAGAGTAATGATGAAGTGTAGAGAGTAATGATGAAGTGTAGAGAGTAATGATGGAGTGTTGTAATGATGGAGCGTAGAGAGTAATGATGAAGTCTAGTAATGATGGAATGTAGAGAGTAATGACAAAGTGAAGTAATTATGGAGTGTAGAGAGTAATGATGAAGTATAGAGAGTACTGATGGAGTGTAGAGAGTAATGATGAAGTGTAGTAATGATGCAGTGTAGAGAGTAATGATGAAGTGTAGTAATGATGGAGTGTAGAGAGTAATGATGAAGAGTAGAGAGTAATAATGAAGGGTAGTAATGATGGAGTGTAGAGAGTAATGATGGAGTGTAGAGAGTAATGATGGAGTGTAGAGAGTAATGATGAAGTGTAGAGAGTAATGATGGAGTGTAGCAATGATGAAGTGTAGAGTAATGATGAAGTGTAGAGAGTAATGATGGAGTGTAGAGAGCAATGATGATGTGTAGTAATGATGGAGTGTAGAGAGTAATAGTGGAGTGTAGAGAGTAATGATGGAGTGTAGCGAGTAATGATTAAGTGTAGAGAGTAATTTTAGAGTGTAGAGAGTAATGATGGAGTGTAGAGAGCAATGATGAAGTGTAGTAATGATGGAGTGTAGAGAGTAATGATTAAGTGTAGAGAGTAATTTTGGAGTGTAGAGAGTAATGATGGAGTGTAGAGAGCAATGATGAAGTGTAGTAATGATGGAGTGTAGAGAGTAATGATGGAGTGTAGTAATGATGGAGTGTAGAGAGTAATGATGGAGTGTAGAGAGTAATGATGGAGTGTACAGAGTCATGATGGAGTGTAGTAATGATGGAGTGTAGAGAGTAATGATGAAGTGTAGTAATGATGGAGTGTAGAGAGTAATGATGGAGTGTAGAGAGTAATGATGGAGTGTAGAGAGTAATGATGACGTGTAGAGAGTAATGATGGAGTGTAGAGAGTAATGATGTAGTGTAGAGAGTAATGGTGGCGTGTAGAGAGTAATGATGGAGTGTAGAGAGTAATGATGGAGTGTAGAGAGTAATGATGACGTGTAGAGAGTAATGATGGAGTGTAGAGAGTAATGATGTAGTGTAGAGAGTAATGGTGGCGTGTAGAGAGTAATTATGGAGTGTAGAGAGTAATGATGAAGTGTAGTAATTATGGAGTGTAGAGAGTAATGACTGACTGAGAGGGAAGCTGAGGCTGAGCTCTTCCACCAAGCGGAGGACGAACGACGGCTCCGAGTCACTGGGAACCTCCAGGTACGAGGGGCTGCACACCTGCCAGTCTGAGGAAACACAATTAAGTTTATTTATACAGCTAAATACATGCAGTATAACCCAAAGTGCTTCTCAACGACACAAAAACAACACATCTACATCATCGTGAAACATACAAATGTTAGAATTACACCTGTATAAAAAATGTAGTCATATGGATTGATAATAAGATCGTTTTCATCAAGATCCACTGCATGAAAAGTTAGATTTTTGTCACCCTAAACGGCAGGAAATCACGCTTTTTTTCGGCAATCTCAGGCAGTTTTCAAAACGCGCAGTTAGGGTGCCCTGTCCTGCAAACTGCCGCATTCGTACCATGCTAATGTACCTACTTTGCATATGAATGCAGCGAAACACTGCGGCCGGCCGAGCGCTAATTGCCCTAATTAGCATATGAATGCAGCGGCTGGCCAGGCTGCCTCAAAACACTATTCAGCATTGGCGGATACCACTACTTTCAAACTCGTAATTGGCTGAAAAATTACACGTGGCCAGCCCACATGGGATTACTCCCCATTGGTAGCTTACTCCCCATTTGATGAAGCTTACTCCCCATTGGATGAAATCACTACTTTCAAATAAGTATAATCTCTCTTGATTGGCTGGCAGATTTGTCACTATTGGTCACCCTGCCTCATAATTAATGTAATAATATTTATATAAATATATATTTATTCATATTATGCTGCATATATTTTATCCTATGTAGGTTACAACACTATTATTAGGCCATCAATGACATGAATGAATTTATAGAGGAAATGAACATTTTCCAGGAATATGTTCATACAAAGAAAGCTTTATTAAAACACACACACACAGCTTTATGCCCACACATAGGTAATTAAAAAATCACAACTCTGAACTGTCCAATAGCGTCCTCGGAGTTGTAATTTGGCAGCATTCTAGATAGACGCTTAATGTGCGTGGCTCTGTACGTCCGCGTCGCCTCTAACCGGGACTGCAGCTTGACACAGTTCAGAAAACTCCGGCTTTCGAAAAGACGGCGACTGCACAATCCACCGAGACACACCGTCCACAACGCCTTCTTCTTCATTGGACATTAGGTCTACCGTGGCGGACTTCCAGAGTTCCACGTTGTCACTTTCTAGCACACTCAGTCTCGATTCCAGCAGCTGAAAGAATCAGTAAATATTATTAGCCAAATCAAATCCTTTTTCGCATCTAAACATTGCCAGGATCAAAAACATAGTGTCTAAAGCAGACCTGGAGATTCTTATCCATGCTTTTGTCTCCGGTAGGTTAGACTACTGTAACAACAGCTGCAGTACATTCAAAATGCAGCAGCTCAAGTCCTGACCAGAACCAGGAAGTACGATATGGCAAGGCAAGTTTATTTGTCTAGCACAATTCATACACAAGGCAACTCGAAAATAAATAAAATAAATAATCACAGTCCATTAACAAAGATAAATATAAAATCCCTCAATTGTAGCACAGCTAAACCAAACTGTTTTTAACCTGGTTTTAAACATTGTCAGAGAGGAGGCCTGTCTCATTTTAGCTGTGCATACAACTGAGGGATTTCATATTTATCTTTGTTGATGTACTGTGATTATTTATATTAATGCTTTCTTTTGTTCAGCACTTTGAGTTTCCTTGTGTATGAATTGTGCTACACAAATAAACCTCCCTTGCCTTACTGTGCAATGCAGTTTAGTCTTACCCCCTTTCTTCTCGCTTGACTTCGAGCTGAACTCTTCTCAACGTCCGCCCGCAATGAGTTTTCTGGCTTGGCATATTGATGGCTCCTGCGTACCGTCTCATATGTCTTACAGGCCGCTATGAAACAATCAAAAGGGTGGTATGAATAAAGATCAAACGCAAGTCACAGTAACGTCAAACAAGGAAGGAGAAACGGTAAAAACAAGTCACTTACACACAATCTCGTCTTTATCAACATTGTGGAAATGTGGACTTGCAGATATTGTGTTAAGCAAATAGGAGGTCACCATCTCATTACGAGGCGAGATTAGTCTGAAAACAAAGTGTAAAGTTATGATTGGTATCTATACATATCCATTACTGACACAAAACATGTGTAGGTAAACCAAATTCAATTTCCATGGATACATTAACAATACTTACAGTGCCTTGCGAAAGTATTCGGCCCTCTTGAACCTTTCAACATGTCGCCACATTTCAGGCTTCAAACATAAAGATATAAAAATGAAATTTTTTGTCAAGAATCAACAACAAGTGGGACACAATCGTGAAGTGGAACGGAATTTATTGGATAATTTAAACTTTTTTAACAAATAAAAAACTGAAAAGTGGGGCGTGCAATATTATTCGGCCCCCTTGCACTAATACTTTGTAGCGCCATCTTTTGCTGCAATTACAGCTGCAAGTCGCTTGGGGTATGTCTCTATCAGTTTTGCACATCGAGAGACTGGTATTCTTGCCATTCTTCCTTGCAAAACAGCTCGAGCTCAATGAGGTTGGATGGAGAGCGTTTGTGAACAGCAGTCTTCAGCTCTTTCCACAGATTCTCGATTGGATTCAGGTCTGGACTTTGACTTGGCCATTCTAACACCTAGATACGTCTATTTGTGAACCATTCCATTGTAGATTTGGCTTTATGTTTTGGATCATTGTCCTGTTGGAAGATAAATCTCCGTCCCAGTCTCAGGTCTTTTGCAGACTCCAACAGGTTTTCTTCCAGAATGGTTGTGTATTTGGCTCCATCCATCTTCCCATCAATTTTAGCCATCTTCCCTGTCCCTGCTGAAGAAAAGCAGGCCCAAACCATGATGCTGCCACCACCATGTTTGACAGTGGGGATGGTGTGTTCAGGGTGATGAGCTGTGTTGCTTTTACGCCAAACATATCGTTTTGCATTGAGGCGAAAAAGTTCGATTTTGGTCTCATCTGACCAGAGCACCTTCTTCCACATGTTTGGTGTGTCTCCCAGGTGGCTTGTGGCAAACTTTAAACAAGACTTTTTATGGATATCTTTAAGAAATGGCTTTCTTCTTGCCACTCTTCCATAAAGGCCAGATTTGTGCAGTGCACGACTGATTGTTGTCCTATGGACAGACTCTCCCACCTCAGCTGTAGTTATCTGCAGTTCATCCAGAGTGATCATGGGCCTCTTGGCTGTATCTCTGATCAGTCTTCTCCTTGTTTGAGATGAAAGTTTGGAGGGACGGCCGGGTCTTGGTAGATTTGCAGTGGTCTGATACTCCTTCCATTTCAATATAATTGCTTGCACAGTGCTCCTTGAGATGTTTAAAGCTTGGGAAATCTTTTTGTATCCAAATCCGGCTTTAAACTTCTCCACAACAGTATCTCGGACCTGCCTGGTGTGTTCCTTTGTCTTCATGGTTCTCTCTGCGCTTTAAACAGAACCCTGAGACTATCAAAGAGCAGGTGCATTTATACGGAGACTTGATTACACACAGGTGCATTCTATTTATCATCATCAGTCATTTAGGACAACATTGAATCATTTAAAGATCCTCACTGAACTTCTGGAGTGAGTTTGCTGCACTGAAAGTAAAGGGGCCGAATAATATTGCACGCCCCACTTTTCAGTTTTTTATTTGTTAAAAAAGTTTTAATTATCCAATAAATTTCGTTCCACTTCACGATTGTGTCCCACTTGTTGTTGATTCATGACAAAAAATTAAAATTTTATATCTTTATTTTTGAAGCCTGAAATGTGGCGATATGTTGAAAGGTTCAAGGGGGCCGGATACTTTCGCAAGTCACCTTTTGAGAAAATGGATCCTTCAATGAAGAAAAAAGTGTGATAATTCTAAGAGCATAGGTTTCTTTTTGTTTTCGGGAAGGCATTTGTCTAAGGAAAGAAAAACACTCATGGTCAAGGGACTTCATGGTTACATAAAAAGGCTAAATTAATAGTATCTACAAGTACATATTTTCACGGGGGACCTAACCAAGAGATAATCTACAAGACCTAGGTAGAACATCTACCTAGGTAATTTATAAAAGAGATAAGTACTATTTATCTTACAATGGGGAATCAATAACAGTGCTGTGAGAAACTGAATTGTTACGTGATTATTGTGAAAGGTCTTTCAAGTGATTTACATTTTATTTTGAGTAAATATCCTTCCACTTGTAAGAAGGAACTTTTGAGTATTAACTGAGGGATACAACATACCCATGTGTTTCACTCATGTCACTGACGAGAAGGTTGACAACTTGTCTTCGAGAGCGGTGACTTAGTGATCTCACAGAATTATAATCTTTAAGGATCTCTCGGTCACCAGGCTTTTCCTGCAGTTCCACCATCTACAAACACGTGAAAATTTTAAAATGACAATCTACGATTGTACCAAAAATCTTATACTACAAAATGCAGCAGTACCTCTTTTGCTGTGTCCTTCTCACACATGTCCTGATTGGATCTCCTTGTAACTGCCACAGAGGATTCTTTCTACTTTAGGAGGAGACTATGGGTTGAGGTCAATTGAAAGTGATGGTGTCCATTTCCATTTGAGAAAGATCTGTTAAAAAAATAAAACATCTAAATATGATGCATTACTTATAAGAGTCGTCATTTCATGATTTTGAATGTGAAATAAATGTTGTGTGTCTCCCGTGTCTCCTCCTGAAGCAAAACTCCTGAATTTAAAGCTCGGATACCCATATTTTTCCTCCATGCATTAACAATGCATGTTATTTGTGCACAAAAGTAAAATGTTGTGAACAAATAAAACACGCAACAGGCCATTTTTTATGATTTTTTTGCAGACTCAAGAGCCCTGTGAGTCCTTGTTTGACTTTTTGGGCTAAGAGTGGACTTTTTAATGTTTTTTTTTCCCCCCACACAGTTAGTGCCACTTAATTTCCAAACTCTAGTTAACTCATTATATTGAGAAATTTAGAGTTACCTTCAAGTGTGTTGTGACCGGGCGACGTCACGGTCCTTTAATATATTACGTGTCTTTCACACTACTGGACAGAATAAACCCGCCTTAACGAAGTGTATTTCCCCAGTTTAGCTTTAGCCAAAAGG